TATATATATATATATATATATATAAACTACATTAAAAACACAGATAAAAAAACATACACAAAATATTGAAAAAATGATCTAATCATCATCACTCGCCACATCACATAATCATCGCCCGAAATCTCCTTCAAACATTTTAAACTCGTCATCGATAGAGTCGAACAAGTTATCTTCATCAAAATCATCGACATTGGGATTCACTCGAGCATTGAAGACATTTTCCACCAAATCGGCACAAAGGTTGTGATGTGCAAATCAATCATATACTTCCCCTCTGTTCGCTATGTACGCCTATGTACCAATACCAACTCCTTCTACATTTGGAAAATTCTCATTTTCATTGTAGTGACAAAATCATTTTCTCCCCATCTTCTATAATCATATCATCCAATATAATAATACATGCATGCATAAGACTACTTATTTGTTTGCGCTCCGTAGATCGCGTCGGTGCTGCGAGTATCTACCAATGTTTCTTTAGAACACCAAAGGTTCGCTCGAAATCCTTCTTAGAAGACTCTTGGGCTGACTTAAACTTTATTCGTTTTTCATCATTTGGACATGAAAACGATTTCAAAAACCTAGTTGACTCATGATATATCCCATCAGTAAGGTAATATCCACGCTTATATAATGTCCCATTTGCTTGAAACGGCACATCATACGATTTCCCAAGGTAGATGTTGTTGAATATCGGCGATTGGTCTAGAACGTTGATGTCGTTGTTGGACACCGGACCAAAAAAATTCATGCCATATCCAACGATCATACGATGTCACTGCTTCTAAAATTATTGTTGGCATCTTTTGATCACCTCGCGTAAATTGACTCCACCACACATTAGGGCACACTAAATACTCGCAATACATACAATCAATACTACCAAGCATTATAGAGAACACATGCTTGCTTTCATGTGTTGTATATAGTTGGTGGATGTCGCAGAGAACTCATGCTTGCTTTCATGTGTTGTATTGTAACAGCCCGTTTATTAAATAAATAAATAGACGAATTAACGAATGAATAGTAGCTCTAAAATCAATAGTAATATAGGAAGGTGTTGGTCTCGAGGAATTAATTATTACAATTATAGAAGTTAGGAGTTAAAAGTGTAAGTCCCAGAGTGGTTTGTAAACATTTATGAAGGCATGGAAAGCTTGATAAATTATTGGGACTTAATTTAAATAGATTTTGGGAAACAAGGGCTAAATGGTAAATTTCGGATTCAATTTGTAAAGATTTCTGAGGGAAGAGGCTATTAGGTAAGTTTTGGACTTCAGTTGAAAAGAATTTGTGGAATCAGGGGCTAAAGTGTATGTTTTGGACTTAAAATGATAAAGATCTAGTAAGGAGGGACTAATTGTGTCAAGTTTGTAAGAAGTTTGGATGGATGCGGGAGTTGAACCTGGTGACCTATCATTCTCGTGTTAAGGACATTACCCCCCCCCCCCCCCCCAAACCCTAACCCTAGCTCTTCACCAGTTGCCACCCTTATGACCCCTCCAACCGGCGCCGCCACACCTCCGGTCGTTGAAGTCGTGAGCCACCGGAGATGTCCCCTCGATGAGTGCCGACGAACCCGAGGCACGCTTAAGACCGATCGACTGCATCCTAGCCATGGTCAGAGTCGCGAGCCACCTGCCAAGCTACCTCAACTGCCGTCGCCGGTGGCTGTGAAGATCGGCGAGTCGTGTCGTTGTTGCATCTCCTTCCGCCGGTAATGTAATCCCTTCTTTTCTTTCGTCATTTTCCCGAGCAACGGTGGCGGTTGATGCCTCCCCTCCGACTTCCATGCCCCACCGCAAGGGTGGCTGTGATCGGGTGTGTTTCTAGTGCTCAGCTGGTGCACGGTTGTGTGCGTGCGTGTATTCTGTTAGCCAGAAAAGCATGGGAACCACCATGGCAGCCCACCATGGTGGCCATTAACTTACTACCGCCCCCTGCCACCGCTTTCTGCCGCCACCAGCCACCGTGAAGGGTGGCTGTGTGTGTGTTTATTGTGTTTATCTGTGGGTTTGATGGGATTATGTGGAATGATTCATGTTTGGCCAGATTAATCAACGGCAAAACCCATTGCTACCACCGTGATCCGCCATTGACCACCACTACCCGAGGTGGTAGTGGGTGGTGCCCGATTAATTAACAATTAATTAATCTAGAAGCTTCACGAACAGACTAATTGGGATGTGATGGGATTGGAAACCCTAATTAGGGTTTAGAAAACCCTAATTATGTATATATTAAT